GCGTTGATTTCGTTTTGTATTGTGTGTGCGTGTGTGTGTCAGAATTGTTTTCATGCGTTAGGATGTCGTGAGTGTGAGTTGATTGGGGAGGGAAGAAATGAAGAAAAACAAGTCAACATTAAGAAATCGACACACTGTATCAGACATGAATTCGCTCAAAGATGACCAAAGATCGTGAACTTACTCAGGCCTTGTGTTTGACTGACGAGAACGGTTAGGCAGATGAGGAGGAAGATGCACTGATAGAAATGTTACACACAGAGATAGACAGAGTTAGTCGACGGGAATTTATTTCACTCACCTTCATTTTGTGTTGGTGTGAACACTGGTGACTAGGAGTAGTATTATGATTGCAATTCCTGCTTTTATATGTATGAGCATGCTCTAAGAATTGATTATATGGCATGAATTTTACCTTGTCTAAAATGCAGTGTCCCTTGTCAGGTGAGTGATTGTTGAATGACATTTAGTTTTCACTTTGGCAAGTGAATGATAATCTGACTTAATCCGACAGAATAAGATGTTGGTCATGGTTTACTTCACTTCAGGTGAACTACTTGAGAATTATTCTGATTACTCAGAGTCTTGTCAAGTTCATAGTTCCTACTAACATATGCTTAAACATCATTCTTGATTTCTTCTGATTTTTTCGTATTTTGCTTGGTTTCATATGAGATCTATCTAACCAGTCCTCACATTTTGATCATTTTCAGCAGAGAAAATTAACTTTGAACACTTTCGTTAAGGGATAGACGCTTGAATAATAATGCAACTTATACAGACTAAAATTTCTATTAAATTTTGAAGGGAATCGAATTAGTTCAAGATGCATACAGCTACAATGGGTGTGTGTACATTTGTGTGTGAAGAATGATGACGGCTGCATTTTTGTGAAGTATATCTAAAAACTAACGTAGAAGTAAATGAATGACTTTAATGCTCGCCTCAGTTCTCAATAATAATCCTAAAATATTTATATAGCAAGGGGAATAGAAATGGTTGTAATTATTTAAACCACTTATATTATCAGGTATATGTATTAAAGATTGATGCATTCGTCTTCTCAGTTATGCTTAACGTTTAAATTGTCCTTCTTTTCAAAGATCACCAAAATCTGACTATATCAGTAGGTGGTTATTTGAGAGGAAAATGCTGTTCCAATGTCATTTCGAAATTAGAAAATTATTGAATTTTTGAGCAACATAGAATTAGCCTGTTTAGCGTATCAAGTCATAAGAATTATGTCCTGTATGACAAGAGAGAGAGAAGAACATGACCTATGCGTACTGATTTGTGTTTCTCTTCTAGTTGGTGAAATTTATTAAGCCACTTGGCAATAATGATTAATATAGTGATACATTTGATGATATTAGTTGGTTGGAGGCAATCGGCAGGAAGCCTTGGACCTAGGTTTCGTGCTAGTTGGCACTCGTTAGAAAGGCGTATTTGAAACCTTGAGGGAACTCATGCCCCTTGTGAGATTCAAACCTGCGTCACTCACTGCTGCAGTCAGAGGACTCCAATCAGAGGACTAGACACATCACACTAGTTACTAGTGTCAGATCAAAAATATCTACTACAGTCCTACAGGAGGTCAATCGTGAGCCCGAAAAGCTCAGTGGTAAGGTCTATGACTGCAGCGCTGAGTGATGCGGGTTGGAATCTCAGAAGGGACATGAGTTCCTTCAGGGTTGCAGATACGCCTTGCTGACGAGTGCCAAATAGCACGAAACCTAGGTCCAAGGTTTCCTGCCGATTGCCTCCAACCAACTAATATCGTCGAATCAATGTTCACCGTGATGGCGAGCTACCTAGAATGGTGGCCATATTAAAACCTGACTGATAGAATTCAGTCTGCACCAATCAGAAGAATGGACACATCACACTAGTTACTAGTGTTAGATCAAAAATAGTGATACACTCTCATTTAGCTTTAAATTCGTAATAAACGGCGCTTGTCACTTATCAGATAGCAAAGATCCTGTACCTATATCTGGTTTTAGAAGACTATACATAACATGCGGAATACTAAGCCCAGTAACCGAAGTGGAAGAACAGAAAATGGTAGGGTGATACGACTGTTTTTTCTTTCATAAATAAGGAAACAGATCTACAAGTTACTGTTAACAAAGTTTGTAAATAAACGTTTAAACAATGTACAATAATAATTCTGGTTGTGTTTTCCCAATTTTATGTCGACCATTGATATAAGTATAAAACTTCGGCACTGTGGTAGAGTATAAGTCTATTATGGATAAGATTTTATTTCGATAAATCACACAGTGTTGTACAGTTATATTAACTGATGACGTTTCGAGCACAAACTATTGCTCATAATCATATCAAGGTACTCACACAACTTTTTTCTTTCATTTATATACATGGGTGGAATCAATTAGATATTGGATTTAAAATCAATGTGAGATAATATCCATTCAGAAATAATAGTACGAGTGTTATTGAACCATTGCAATTATGTGGGAAATACGACTGTTTATACGAGTGTTTTTTATAGTCATAATAAATTACTTGTTAGAATGTTTTGATGTGCTTGAATTGAAATAGAACTTTAAGATTATTCATTATCTTCTTCTGATTTGACTTGAGGTAATAATATCTTCCATATTTCTGGTATTTGCATTGAATCATTTCTGTTACATGTGTTGGGTATAGACTCGATGAATAAGGATTCCGTAATCAACCTCTCTCTCCACCTACCTAGATTACTTTTTAGAATTTTAACCCTATCCCACCCCATTGTATGGTTATTTGTTAATGCGTGAAGTGCAATAGCTGAGCTTTTTTCTAAATTACTTATCTTTTCGGGGTCAACCATTCTTACCTTAGCTAAATTCCTATGTTCTGATAATCTGACTATCCCTGACCTACTAGTTTGACCTATGTAGTTGACCTCACAATCGTTGCGGGGTATTTTGTAAATTACGTTATTTTGTCTAATTGGGTCCACCGGGACTTTTAGCCTACAGAGCTTGTCTCAGAGACAAGCTCTGAGACAATTAGACAAAATAACGTAATTTACAAAATACCCCGCAACGACTTATGTCGACCATTTTACCACTAAGCTATGCAATGTCCACCAACACTGACAGCACTGATATATCACTGGAAATGTGAATATTCATTTTCTGTCAGTCATTTCACAGCTAAGAGCAAACCTGCCAACGTATTTGCATGAAATCCGATTAGAAGTTGAAATCACTTAAAAGAATTTATAATATAATTTATTACACTTCGAATTATACATGCGAAATGAAATACCAATCCTACTGTAATCACGATCTCTATTATTAGGCAGAATTCAGGAATAAAGATCTATTTCGAAGAATATTTTATTGTTTTTTTTTTCAATATTTCACGTTAAATCTGGTGAGTGCACGAGACACTCACAATAATTTCAAATTACTGAAGGCTTGTAATGCATTCCAGATCCATGACATTTAATCGCGCATGCCACCTGCAGCTGAAATGATCCTATCAAGATGATGAGTGATAAAGATGTTACCTGATTCAAATTTCTCCCGTTGATAAAGATGGGTACTATTTTTGATTGGCAAGATATCTTCATAACTTCTGTTTTCCTTTATTTTTACTTGAAGTTCTGTCCTCTCTATCAACATCTTGTGATAGTCTGTTAATTTTCGTCAACAGTTATTAGACAGGATATTTAGTCTGTCAGCCTGACGTTCAGTATTTCATAACTATATCCTGTCAGGTTAACGCACAATTTAGTGCGAATTCTTGTTAATTTCAATATTTTAAACTTGCGTTATGCAATCAGTTAGGGTTTTTTTCACAGTCAGTTGAAAGCATTTCGTTCTGCAGGAACAACATGAAACAAAGAAGTCAGAAATCTCATGTTTAGATCCTGGTTCACTTTTCAGCTGTTTCAGGACTTTTAGTGTTCTTGGCATTGAGTTTTCTGTTTTGAAAAATTGGGAAAACTAAAATTCACATATAAATTTCAGCCAATCAACAAAGGGTTATCATTCGTGCTTATCTGTTCTTCCCTAAAAATCTTCGTATTCCATTATAGGCGCTTTTTACTTTTCATAGAACTGGCTCTGTTTGAACCCATCCTATATGTTCAGGAGTTAGTTTGTAAGGATTTGATTTGCTTCGAATTTGATCACAGATTGATATTAGTTAAAAATATCATTGAAAACCAGAGAGTACTGAACAGCTGTTCGGTTGTAGTTAGGAATTTGTGGAAAGTACACACCCACTGGGATTCAGATGAACGACCCTCCAGTTACTAGGCGATCTCGTAGGCCATTAAGTCACTGGAACCCGGTTAAATGGCCAATGAGTTCTTACTTCTACCAACTGATCATTTTTTACACGATCACTGGCCATTATCATTTGTGGTAAAACTTGAAACGAATCAATTCCCTACAAACTAACTCTTGAACATAATCTAATGGTCGCTTGTGACTGGCTACAGGATAAACTTGCCTGAAGTTCCGGTGAGAAGTTGCCTTCATTGTGAGAGAAAATTTTCGCCGATCACATAGGCTGGTGTTCGCGCTAAAGTGACGAATTAGTACAAGTTAGAATTCATAGGCTGATCACTGAATGGGATCCTAGTGGATGAAAGGTTCACGAGCTTGGCTTACAACAGGATTGTTCTGGTTTGGCAACCTAGAGGTGAATGTTTACTTCCGATGATATCCCAACTAGAAAGAAATAGCTATCCAGTACTCCCTAGCTTTCAAAGATTCTCTAACTGTTATCGATCTGTTGGCTACCTTGAGACACTGTAAATCATATAAATGTTTTAAAATGATTTACGCCAGCACTTATGCTAGTATTACTATATTTTCTGGCGTTTACGCCTGCTTTACGTTAGTCTAACACACTAACGAAAAGTGACAAATAAATGTATCTACGTAACTTAGTGGAATGTATTTTTTTTAAGTTTTAAAGTTATTACTTATTGCGCATTATATTTCTGATCAGGTGAACTGTTAGATCATAGATGGATGTCATATGGTGTCTATATTGCTCAATATAAATATGTATATACCTATATATCTGCATATGAGTGGAAAGACAGTTCTTTTGTCATGCTACCTGTAATGAAGATCACACCCAGATGTGCCATTATTATTTTGGTGACTATAGGTTAGTTTTTCAAAACATGTTTATCTAAATACTTTGTGATCTAATCGCATCTTTACGGATAAAATTTTATTTTGATAAAATCACAGTGTTATCCATTTAAACATTTACTAGTGACAACGTTTAGAGTACAACGTGTTGCTCATAATCATATCATGGTACTCACATAACTTTCTTGCTTCATTTAAATACATAAGTAAAAATTGATTAGAAATTTAAAGAAAATCAGTATACGATAAAGCTAATTCGGAGATAATATTAGCGTTATCAATTAAATACCATAAATGTAGGGATAAGCTGCTTTTATATTAGAATAAATAAATAACTTGTTAGAAGGTTATAATGTGAATTGAATGCATTTTAACATTATTTATTATTCTCTTATTTGACTGGTAATAATATCCTCCATATCTCTGGTATTTACGTTGAGTCACTTCTATTGCATGCGTTGGGTGTAGACCGATGAACCAGGATTCAGTTATCCATCTCTCTCTCTCTCTCCACATACCTACATAACTCTTGGAATTTCGACTCTGTGTTATGAAGTGCATGCAGTGCTATCACTGAGCTATTTTCTAAATTACTTATCTTCGCTGGGTCAACCATTCTAACCTTAGCTAAATTCTTATGTTCTGACAGGTAATCTGACCACCCTCGACCTACTAGTTTGACCTTTGTAGTTGACTTAACTCACAGCTATTGCAAGGTATTTTGTCAATCATATTATTTTGTTTAATAGTGTCCACTGAGTCCTTTAACCTACAGAGCTTTTTCTATCTGAATGAGTTTTTAAGTTCGAATGGGAATCTTATTCCTGATCTATTGTTAATCCTATGTAGGATTTCAGATGTCCCCTCCTTATATGGTTAAACTGTAGATGCCTTAAATTCTTTCTTATTTATGCTATCATTATTAGTTTCACCACTAGTTTTATTTTCATGGAGGATTTGATCATGAGCTGACATCAGTTAGAGACCCACTGGAAAACCTGGGAGTACATCTTATGCTCACTAGTGACTGGCCCTATTCAGGCAGTTAACCTGGGGTTCTAGTGGGAAGCCGTGACCAGTAGGGTATAGCAAGTTGAAGATGAGGCAGTAACTCATCGAAGAAGACATTGTAAAGTGGTCGCGCTATGTCGTGAACTGGCAGAAGTTAGAATCCAAGGACCCTTGGATCGGGTCCCAGTTGCTTAATGGTATACGAGCTCCCCTTGTAACCAGGAAGTCCCGGATTCGAACCCCAGTGGGTTCGTACTGATTGAGAGTCTCAAACTGGGACAAAACAGCTGTCCGGTACTCCCAGGTTTTCCAGTGGTTCTCTAACTGATGTCAGCTCATGATCAAATCCTCCATGCAATCAAACAAAATCCCTACAAAACCAATACTTGGTAATTTTACTTTGCCTTTAACCTTTTTGATATTACTAATGAATTTTATAAGATAGTTGTTCGATAACAACGCCTCTTGTATCTGTTTCATTTGACCATTTAGGTCTTTTACTGTACTACTTAGTATCGTTGCTCGGTTTGTTAGACGCTTAATTAAGGCAGCCTTTAAAGACAAGAGATGAGATGGTCTGAAGTCTAAACATCTATTAGAATGCATTGATTTATTTACGAACGCTACCATGCAGTTTACCTCCTTCTATTCGTTTTATTTTACAAGCTAACATAGTTAAATCCCCTTGTTCAGTTTCTGACACAAATGTGAGATTTATCCCCTTCACTAGTGAGTTTATGTATCGCAGCTTCGATGTTGTCAAGATCTTAGTGCATGGTGAAATTTCATATGCGTCATAGATGGATTTTATGACTATAAATCAAAACAAAGATCAATCTACTGTGGTAGTCTGTAGTAGAAAACATTTCATTGTTGGTAAGAAGAAAATAAATCAGTTTGTATTCTCTAAGAATATATGCCATTAGTGATGCAAACATTTATCGGAACCAGCACACTCTAATAAGAATTTAGACTTAAATTCATCCCATCGAGAATCGATAAAGTTAGGTTTAGCTGAATGTCTTTATAATCGGGGCCAGAAGCCCAAATATGTCAAAAGGCTTAAATAATGAAATTAAACAAATAAAGAGAATGTTACCAGTGAATTACTACCTATCAGAATTTATCCAGGAATGCATGCAGAACCACAGAAAAATAAGATTTATGGTGGCAGTAAAGAAATGATATGGAATTCAAAGCCTTTAAAGTACTGCCTTATAAAGAAGGAGCGTAAGATACCCTAATCAGGATACTCAGGGAGGCTAGAATTAGGGTCCAATCAGACCAACCAACTCTTTCAGAGACAAACTTTGTTGACTCAGTGACTTTACAGATCCAATTAAAAAAAATAATATATACCATATAACGATTGTAAATCAGGTCAACTGCATATATTAAACAAGTAGATCGGTCTTAACTGGATTATTATTATATCCCTTAATTCCTAGAAGAACATAGGGCTTAAGCCGTGTGTCTCAATTGCCTCCGGTTTTCTGCCAACTTTTTCACCCCGCTCCAAGTCCGCCCACATGCTTTCATCTCCTCTTCACATGACCTCCTCCACGTCACCCTCGCACTGACGACCAACTCGCCGCTTCCCTTTCGGGTTCCACTCGAGCGATGGCTTGTCTAGTGATGTCACTTGATGGTTTCCTCAGAGTATGGCCAATCCATCTCCATTTCTTCCTGCCTATTTGTTTCACAATTGGTTCCTGGTTGGTTCGCTGGTTGCCAGAGACCTCTGTTGCCGATCTTTCTGGCCATCTGATCTTGAGTATCGAGCGAAGACAGCTGGTAATGAAGGTCTGAAGTTTGTTGGAGATGCTCTTTATGACGCGCAGTGCAAGTCTCTCATCCGTGTAATAGCACTGACTGACTTCACATTAGAGTTGAAAATCCGGATTTTATTTTTGATGCTGAGTGATGTTGACCTCCACACAGATTTGAGATTAATGACAGCTTGTCTTGCTTTTCCGATTCTGGCTTTGATATCCTCGTCAGTTCCGCCTGTAGTTGAAACGATGCTTCCCAAGTAGGTAGGTGGAGGAGGTTGTTTCTTTCAGGTTCCTCCCATTTATGCTGGCTGATTGTTGTCTGTTGTTGTTGTTGCTGTTGGTGTTAGCCAGAAATCTTCATCACCTCTGTTTTATCTATGTTCACCTGAAGGAAGTCCTATCTTTGGTGCTTCTTCTGCTAGGTTGTTACTTTTCACTTGCATATCTTCCAGTTTGTGAGAAATCAGACATATATCATCGGCGAAGTCCACATCCACCAAGTTTTTTCTGTGAGTCCATTTTATGCCTGTTTCCTCATTGCCCGTTGTCTGTCGCATTATCCAATCTACTGCAATCAGGAAGATCATTAGTGATAGTAGGCAGCCAGCTTGTCTCACTCCCGTTCTCACTTCGAAGGCTTTCGTAGGTTTCCCACTGTGGGTTACTCGACATGCAGCATTGTCGTACAACTGTTGGATGAGTAGTTGCCAAATGACCTCTCGACCGACGCTGTCGAAGGCCTTCTCAAAGTCAATGAAGTTGAGTGAGATAGAGAGGTGACTGCCATTCCAAGCTTTGTTCAATGATGATCTGTAGAGTGGCGATTTGATCAATACATGACTCGTTTCTCCTGAATCCAGCTTGTTCCGGTCGAAGTTTTGCATCCAGGTTGGCGTGTTCGATTCTCTCCAGGATGATGCGGCTTAGTATTTTCCTTGGGATGGATAGGAGCATAATTCCGCGCCAGTTTTTGCATGGACTTAAGTCTCCTTTCTTTGGTAGTTTGAATAAGTATCCTTTCTTTCAATCCTCGGGTACATTGCATTCTTTCCACACCTTCTCCAGCAGTGGCGTCATCAACTCCAATGTTGTCTCTGGGTCCATTTTCAATGCTTCTCCTGGGATTCCATCTGGTCCTGCTGCTTTTCCAGCTTTTAGCATTTTGATTGCATTCAGGACTTCTGATGTCGTCGGGGTATCAATGTTCGCTGGTAGTTCTGCTTCCGTTGTTGTATCGTTGGGCGCGTTGTAGGTGGCGGACGATTTAGAAGTCATTTGAAGTTTTCAGCCCAGAGTTTCCTTTGCTCCACCTCTTTGGTGATTGACTTTCCATTGTTGTCCTTTACTGGCTTAATCTGTATCGAACGTTTTCCCGATAGGTGCCTAGTTTTTTGGTAGAGTGTGGCGAGGTCTCCTTTGCCTGCACTGTAGTTTGTTCTGCTTCACTTGCCATGGTTTCATAATACTTTCTTTTGTCTTCCCTGGCACTATTCTTCACTCCTTTGTTCAGTGTATTGTAGCTTGCATTCAACTCTTGCATTCTGTAGCAACTTTGTTTACAGGGTGGGGTTGCTAGCCTCACGCCTGACTTAAATGGATTATGTGAGCGTAAGATATGTTTAGCTAGACTCAAAAGGACTGACCCTGCTAACTTAAATAACTTAGAAAAAACCTCGGCTATCGCGCTGAATTCACTTGCATGTAATAGTAAAACAGGTTGGGACGGGGTGGAAGGTTTAACAAGTGATATAGTTAGGTGAAGAAAGAGAGAGCTTATCACTAAATCATCGTTTATCAATTCCAAATCCCAACCCATGCAATTGAAATGTCGCAACGCTTATACAGTAGATACGGAAAGTGGTGACAGACCACTAGGGATATATATTTATATATATATATATATATATATATATATGTATAAAGCAAATAATTAAGTTTGAGTGAATAAACTGTTTTATTATGAGAAATAATTTGTTTTCAAAGTGGCATCAAATTACCAATATTCAGTCAATGTTTGTTTTAATAATGAACACATCAAATGTGAAGTCCCAAACTGCGACAAACAAGCTGTTCAGTAACCACTAGTTTTCCAGTTGTTCCTCAGTTAATGTCAGCTTATGTCGCAGGCTGTAACTAATCAGATACCTGTGTCTGAATACACTGATGTGATTATAAGTGAAAAGTTATGCTCGAAACGTCATCTAATTTATAATACTGTTTCAGTATGTGTTATATTTTCGCCATGCTTCAAACATTCTGGAGAAATTTAGTTGATTAACCGGAGTAGTGTCGTCAGCAACATGCAAAGCTTGCCTTCTGTGTGCTGTATTAAAATAAATTATCTCATACATAATTATACTCTGCCGGAATGCCAAAATTTTGCTCTTACATTAGCCGAACAATGCCTCGTGGAAAGTTTTAAAGGATGAAAATAGTTGGAGCTTATAAGGGACAAAGTGTAAACACTAGAAATGCCAACCCAGCCTTTCAGGCTTTAGTACTTATAGCAGTATAAATTTTATTTTAGAAGCCATTGAGAAGTGTTTGATGTACGACTACTAGACTTATGCTCGACCAACGCTGCTGCCACGTAATGAATTGTCGAACTACACTCCGTGATAAAATAAAGTAAAATAAAGTTTATACAAAATTATAACTGGTGAATTTATGTGAAGTATGAAGTACTTCGTAATACATTTTCTGTGTATATTTTGTGAGAAGAGATAATAGCAGGGCAATATAAACAAGATTCTGTATACAATCAAGACATTTAGTTATTCCTTTCCTATAAAAGCAATTTCAGTATACGGTAATTTCTTTCTTTTAGTTGCCATAGTGGTGCTGGGTAAGTTCATTTTTAGCCTTCAAGTGTTAGTTTTCATGCATTTGATCTGTTCCAAGTCTGACTGCAGATTTATATAAGTTTGTTTGGTAACTGGAAGGTTTTGAGTTTGAACCTCGGCGGATGTATACTGTTGGTAAGTTCCAAACTAGGAAGAAACAGCTATCCATTACCCGATGGTTTTCAATGGTTCGCTATTAGTCAAACTTAATTTTCATCCTATTGTGATGAAAAAACTACATTACTTTCTCAAATAGTACAACATTGGCCATAGCAAACATTTAGATATTGCGATTTTGTGGGGGTTTTGTATAATTTCATTGTTGATTTCATCATGAATCAAGATCAGACGGGGACCGTTGAAATCTAGACAGCTCTGGTAAGCTGTCTCACCCTAGGTTGTTACCTGTAAGCACTTAATCTCTAATTCATATTAGTTCGTGACAGAATCTGTATTCGAAACGCATAAGCACTGAAATTGTATCATCACTAAAAATACCGAAGTTACTCATCATCTTTCCACGAAGCGAAAAACTCAAAATGCACCAATAAATGTGTAGTTCTATTGTCCCCCTCCACAGCCTTTTTGTATACAGTGCAGTATTAACATTACATACATAAGAAACTGGATATTTTAGATTAATTCTAAATGCTGTAAAAAAACTGTTTCATATATGATGAATGATTTGTTTTTATCTTTATAGTTTTCCATTTATTTAAGTAATCTGTCTACTTAACAAAATTTGGTTAGATATAATATTTAAAAAAGCTTCTTATCTCACCTGATTCTCATGTGTCACAGTCTTTTGACGTAATAAAAGTTCCTGCGCTTTGTTGACTAAAGCCTCAGTAATAAATCATACCACATACTGTGAAACTAATCGATTGTGAGAAAAGTGTCATATGAGATACTTGAAATATTTCACTGCTTCAGTCTATTGTAAACTGCTAGTCATTTCGACAATGCTGCTATTTTCACATAGATAGATAAAATAATTTTGAGACCTAATTTTTATTTTCCACTATATTAATATCTGAACGAATCCAAACCAGTTTAAACTGGAATGCGTATCTAACTTTTGAGTCAGAAAATTCTTTTCATTTTATGTAGGCGTAATTAAAAGAGATACTGATAATGTTTCAGAAAATTGCAGACATGAACGTAGTTTTGAAAGGGTGAATTTGGCATGCCTATTTAAATAAAACAAGGGCTACTATTCCACAAAGACTACCGATTAACATGTGCTTGTTTTGTGTTTGCTTACCATAAAATTCGATAAGTAAGCATATGCACATTTATGTGACTACCAATGAGAGAAATATAGAAAATCAGAATGGATTACTACATGCGTGTTTCATCTCTACCTGATACTCTTCATCAGTACGTATCTCTCTGTTTGTCGACGAGGTTTACAAAGCGTTTTTCTTTAAACATTTAGCCACTGCAGCAATATCCGACATCTTATCAATTCTAAGTACTACCATTTTCTGACATATAAAGCAAATGCCAGATGATAACATGGGCAAGTATTTGTCCATACAGTCAAGGGAGTAATGGAGTGAGCCGTATTGTCCTTGTTTGATACTCCTGTATAGTACACACACTGATGACCCTACATGAAAGTGAACCTTGTTTCCATCAATGAAAAATGGTCAACATAATAGTTAAAAAATGAAACTTTGAAAACGGTGCTCAATGTGTGTCTGTGCAGATAGTTGTTAGTGGTGTAAATGAAAAGTAGGAAGTTCAACCTCACTGACTTTAAAACGATTAGTTTAAAATAAGTTTCGAAATGCTACAAAACAGTTGTTCATTCTTCCTTTCCAGTCTAAATTAATTTACTGAGATAATGAGATAATATCGACGACAGTTTTCAGGAGTGTTATCATTTTATTATGTATGTAAATAACAAGTATGAGTAATTTTTATCGAAATTTTAGTCCATTACACAGGGACTTAACTTCCATAGTGTTTGACTAAATCCATATTGTCTGTTTATCGCAGGTTTGATAATTGGCCTTTCCGTACGCAAGAAACCTAATTTGTAAGCCTTATAATAATAAGCTTTATTCTGATATAATTTATATGCCTGTAAGTGTACACAATTATAAGATCCACTGCGACACATGGCTAAACTAAAGATAGGAGTGAGATATTGGTTGCCTTGTATCAATGACGATACTGCTTATTGAAATAACCATGTAACAGACCGAAGGTCAATGAAAAGACAGGAATACGTTAGGAAGACAACAAGACTCTATGAGATCTGAACTTCGAGGGCGAAGATCTGCAATCCGAAACTATCAAACAGGGATTAAAGATAGTGACGGCAGGACTTCAGTGGGAACATAACCATCTCAGCGGTGATGAAAATGCTTAATCTAAAACATCAACCAGCAGTCACTATCAGTGGACTCAATCTAAATTGAAAAACCTGTTTCACTTACGTAGACAGGATGTTTTTAAATACACGTTGTAAAGATAAATATATCAAAGCCAGGAGATCTGTTGCACTCAGCATAAAGAAAAGGTCGCCATTTTCTGCACTAATGTCGAGTCAGTAGGTCGTTTTATATGGTTCAGAGAAGTATTTGCAACAGTCTGCAACAGATTTTCATCAAGAGTATTATTGTTGGTCGTGGTACAGCTTGTGATTTCATCCAAGCTAATCCTGTCCCGGATATTATCCTGCTTATCTGGTGAAGTCCTGTTGGGTCTCTATCACCTGCAGCCTTTTATGTTTCCGATGCCAGCATACTGTCAGTTAAAGGAAATATATAAGCCTACTGAATTCTAGAAGACATTCAATAGGCAGCATCATTCCTCCTCGAATAGATGGTTCTTCCCGATTCCAGTTGACAATAAGTGTAACTTTTGTCGTCGAAAAGAAAATTTTCTTCGCTGCAACTGTCTTCTTTGTAATTTTTGTGCAATATGAATTTTCAGAAGTGACGAGGTTGTGTTTCTAGAGGGAAGGGGTTGATATCCCAACGCTTGGCCTTATGTCTCTTCCGGAATTAAGGCAAACGAGAAACCTTCGCAGTGATGATGTGAAAATTGTCAGTATATTAGAATCCTGTAATGGTGATTCGTGCTCACTTTGAAAAATTCAAACTTGTCATGAGATATTTTCTGCATTTTGACGATACGGTGAAGTTATTTTTAATTATTTGCATTTATGCATTTGATAAGAAAATTGATTTCGTGTGTACTGCATAAGAAATATAATTATTGGTGAATTTTGAAGAAAAGAGGATGAGTAAGTATACAGTCAGTTTATTCTAGAATTTGAATTTCATTGTAATAATTGTGATAATGTTATGAAATGACGCATATTGTATTCTTCATTCAACATGACGAATGATGCGTGTCGGTGGCCTAGTGTTTAGGACTCTCGCCAACCGTCCACATGGTCCGAGGTTTGATCCACTGCCGACGCACACACGATACTCATACTTGTTATCTGTATTTCCCTAATATATAAATGACACTTTTGAGTAAACAAAACACTGCTTAGTCTCATCGGTCGCCTCAATGTCATCTGAGATTTCACTTCAATTTCATCGTTATTCCCTAACACTACCGTACTGTAGACCGTTTTAAACACAAAATATTTTCATTTTAAGGGTACACCTAAGATAAAATTTAGAACCATGCTCATATTTGTAGAAATTCAAACATGAATAGCAGGTTGGAACTCACAGACATCATACTTAACAGAATGTAATCACAAATGTTGGAACTGCTTAGTTATGCGTCTCCTCTCAATTACTGTATTCAGAAAGACCAGGTTAACATCATTTATTTCTTTGAAAGGCAATAACAAGGAAAATCTTTTCAGTTCTGTCTAGAAAAATCAACTCATTATCTATTTATAAATACAACATTGTCCGCGTGTATTTATTCAGAATTTGTGTAAAAGATTACACAGTTGTGTGAAAACAGTTTTCAACACATTGAACATATCTGGTATGTATTCAAATGTGTACATGTGAGAAGACAACTGGTTATGTGCACTTGCTGAATATTAATTTTGAATTATCACTTTTTGTTTTAAAGAGACGCATTCTTCAAGTATGTATGCAGCCAATTACATTTCATAGTTGAATGTAACCATAGTAATTGTGATTGTTTCTCTTTTTTATATATTTTAAGTGACATATGGAAAATACTTCATCTAACAGTAACCGAAAAATATACAGTGCTGTTTAATAGATGAATGATGTTCAGTTTGACACTTATTTACTTATTGAAGTCAGTAATTACGATATATGTTGATGCTAATGAAATGAAATAATTATAGAAAAACTCTTTCTGATCTAACAGATAGTCTTCAGTGAAGAAGCTCTTTCGTTGCTGAATTCAAACATGTTTTCTTGATTTTTTGAATCGTGGTGGAACTAATCGATTTTCAGATGGTCTTTGATGTCCCACATCTCAAAATAACATTCATTTAAATGTGTCAACTCTTTCAGTTTATTTATTCATGAAAGTCTTATGCAGTTATGATTCCAATTGACGATGACGGCTATAAATTTGAGACTATGACGTCCGCACGTCACTGTCCCCATTTCATTCTTTGAATACACTTCTTATTGATGATACACAAGCCAAAATTAATCACGTTTTGCAGATATTACTCCCCCAGTGTTACGTTTCATAAATATTTTCAGCTATGGTTGTGCAGATATATTTGCTTAGCCTTACCGGAAACACTTTCGTTCAAAGTAGTCTCAAAATCAGTCAGTGTATCGGTCCCTTTAATCCTGCTCATTAGGGATGTACTTCGAAATGTTTAAGTAAATTTGTTTACATCAAAAATAAGCTGCTACATTTGAGACCACATTGCTTTGGATCCTGAGGCTTACTAAATAAAATAACTCCTCGAAGTTTTTGGAAGTTAATTTGTAGTGATTTGATTTGTTTTACGTTTGATCACGAATTGATGTCAGACACAGAACCGTTGAAAACCTGGAAATACAAGAGAGAGATTAAGTTCTGGTTTGGAACTCTTTGCAGCACACACCCAACGGGTTCGAGCTTCCTTTGTAGTCGAGAAGTGCTGCGCTTTTATCCCGACTGGTGCATACTGTGAAGAGTTCCAAACCAGGATGAGACATCTGTTCAATGCTCCTTCATTTTCAAGGTTCTCTAACTTGCAGCAGTTTGTGATGAAACTTGAAAGCAATCTTTATTCTGTATAATAGGATTGAGATTGTTAAGTCTCAAATTCATAACACCTTCTCAGAATGATTTACACTGTAAATATTCCTCATTCAAGCCTACATGCGAGGTAGCATTCAGAAACATCCTTATATTGATAACTGGTGATTGTCACACATTGGAGATAAGGATAAGCCCGATATACTTCATATTAAACTAGAATTAACTTTCAGAATTGTTGACGTTTTTAATGAGCACTTCTTATCTGAATAGCTCCTGAAAAGATCCTGAATAATAAACTCTATCCACTCTGGAATACAACATTGGGAATTCACTACTGGCGAAGTGATGATGAAAACAGAACTTTTGTGAAAGACTGTATTGTATAATGTTGTTATATAAGATAATGCAGAGAGGATTTCAGTTACGACTGTTATTCTTTTTTTCTGGACATAAATATCTAAACTTATCAACAGTGAATATGTCGGGAGTTGACTGAATAATAAATAATTAATTTCGATGTTGTTTTTAAAGCTATTACTACGGAGAGTATGTTCACAGTTTTCTTTTTATTGGATTGTCAAATTCTTTATTCAGCACGATTTGATAGGTGTACAACAGGTTTATTATTGAAGTGGTTTATAAAATGTACAGAATTAGCAGTAGAATTTCTTGCATAATGTATTCTATTCCGTCAGCATCTTCAAGTAAAATAGTTATTGGTATTGGGTCGAGTGACACAATGTCATATCATGTGAAGTGCAAACCAGTCTTTTAGAATATTTCGTCTTTAACCCCTTCGAGAAATGCACAATAGTCGGTTGAAAGCAAACTATAAAAAAGAAAGAACAAATTTCCCCATCCAATCGCATAGCTGAATGATTAAAGAGTGCAGGGAGTTAGTTATATCCCCTATATAGTGATAATTTTGCACTTGATATGTCAAGAACAATTATTTCATGTGCTGGATTACATGGACGCATATAATCATCGCTTATCGTCAGATAAAGTAGAAACTTCCGAATCAGCAGACAGTAAATAATTCAAACACTTGAGCCAGTGAAGAATACCACCAATAGTTGCTTTCTTAGAGAATAAAATTACGTGAACACAGGAAGTAAGATGTAACACAATGATGGTGCATTTTGGTAGCACAAATGTTTCAGCAGGCTGCCATTATATCAATCTTATTTAAAGAATGAATAACGTACTAGCTAGACTCATTTTGAATTAATTTCACACTAAAACCTGTTCACGCGTAAAAGTTGGTTAACGCGATAATAATGGCTAGAAAACCAGTAAATATCCTTACGTATTTAACCGATGCGTCATCCTCAAAGGGAAAAACCATGATGGAATAAGCCGATGAAAATCCAGTGGTTTTCTAATTTATTTCACATCCACATTTCACTTGAAATCAATCAAATTAATGCAAACTAACGTTCGGAAAGCGATAAGGTATTATTACGACTACACATTTGTAGAATTATTCTAGTTAAAATGTATTCACCGTCAAACTCTTCTTCTGCTACACTCATTGATTCATTTCTACAATCACTTTTATGAATTCATTGTAGTTCAAAGCATCCGTAAGTTTTATCTCCTGAAACTTGGACGCCGTTCGTTTATTTAACTGGTGTGGTTTTCAGAACTTCAGGAAAGCGACGCCTTCATAAAGATTCATTCAAAACGTTATCACAGTTGCCTCAAATCTACCGAATGCATAGATGAGACGATGTAGTTCGTGTCTTCCGAATGCTTTCTTGCGTTAGTGGCTTAACGGTTGGGACCCTGGCCGACCATGAACAAGATCCGAAGTTTGATCTCCAGCTGACGGACTCCTTTACCTTGCTTAGACAGAACAAATTCTAGTAAAGAAGGAAGGTCGCGCATGGGCCTAGCAAACCTATTCTGTAAAATAACCACTGACAATAGCATCGACCCATATGCTACAATGAATAACGTGGGGGAAACCGAAACTTATGATACTTTCATGTAACCCGAAACATATTTCAGTCTTTCTTCAATAAGGGTTTCGCTTCATCTGTCGTGAAATTTAAATATGACTATTTAGGAGATACAGGGATCTTGACGTTTACTCGAGGAACGATGTGTACAAACGAAAGTATTTACCACACAACTTCGATAGTATTTCTTATGATTAGACCAAAGATAAATCAAAACACCAAATTTTTCAACCAAAATAATATATATATTTTGGTATCAGAATCCCATTGCAATGACAACTGCTTAGCTAGCTAGGGATGAGGCACATATACTTTGATTGGACACTAGTAACTAGTTTGATGTGTCTAGTCCTTTTTGGAACAGACTGAACTCTGTCACTCAGGTTTGTAATGTGGCTACCACACTTGGTTAGCTCGCCATCACGATGCACATTGATTAGATGAATTTAGATGGTTGGAGGCAATAGTCAGAATTCAGTCCGTACTGAAGAAAGGACTAGAAACGTCACACTAGTTAGTAGTGTTCAATCAGAGTTTCCAGTACAGTTCTACAGGAGTTCAATCACGAGCCTGTTAACGTTTGTGACCGCCACACTAGGTGACGTGAATTCGAATCTCATGAGGGACGTGAGTTCCTAGGAGTTCGGGAACATGTCTTGCTTGTGAGTGATGACTAGAACGAAACGTAGGTGAGTTCAAGTCTTCCTGTTGATTGCATTCAACCATCTAATATACTGCACAAATGAGTTAACGTAAAACGACAGAGTTCCAGTGGTGTAGAAGCTTGATCGCAATCCTTCAACCTAACGCATCGACTTAAACAGTAAATGTGAGCATTCCATGAAGAATGCGTCAGACCAATAATTTCTGGGGAATGCTTACTACAGAAGCTGGTCCAGGACTTTGTCCGATGATTTTAGGCTAAATCCCTCCAAATGTCATGTTGTGTGTTACACATTCATACACAAGCGCGACTTACATGAACTCGTCCGTTTCCGTGATCCTTGAATCATACAAGTTGAAACTAAGTAGAACTTTCAGTACGTTTGGTTACGTCTTCCGTCTGAACTTCCTTGGTCTTGCCACATCTTATTAGTTTCTAGAAGGACATTTCGTCTAACCTTCTACATAAGGAAGTTAAGGAAATCTCGTATCATTCAGCCTCTAACTTTACATTCTGTAAATTCCTAAATTCTACCTATTCCTCTTTATTTCCTCCCACCCTAATCTTTCCTGAGCCATTAAGGGTTGTTTCACACTACAGTGGACACTCAGTTGGGCGAGTGGGAATACGCTAAACAAACAGGTTAATACTGCAGCAGATAGACACTTGAACTCATAAGAGAGATTGGCTTGTGGCATCTTGACGAATTCTAAACGTCCTATCTACACACAACTTTGTCGTTGCTTCTCATTATGTAGGATTACAAACAACTATGAGATATTGTGCTAGAACGACTAAGTATGGAAGCGTGTTGATACCTTATTCGGCATGCGTTTGACGTGATGAGAAATGTCTAAGACATGATGTTACTAAGTAAATGTGCGTCACTGACACACGAGTTAAGACACTCGCGGACCATGCACATGTTCCGGGGTTCGATCCTCTGGTGACGAACACCTGATATATAGTGTGGCCTGCAAAATTTGACCTAAAGATATCACATGCTGAAAATTCCATAAATGTACCAAAAATTACGGTGTAGAATCAAGCTATAATAAAGAAACAATAGAAAAACAATAAATTACACTAAGTAAACGACATTTTTCTGTTTCATTCGTCAACGGATTTTCGTTATTATATCCAATAAGATATTAATTTGACATTCAAAACAGCATTGAAACTACTAGCAAAGTAAATGCCTACTTAATTATTCTCCTCCGTACTACGTATTGTAAAGAGAAGACTGGGTGCAGAAATGTATTTCACGCTGAAAATTCTACATTGTATGAAAAGTACTGTTTCGAATAAAGCTATTATCATTGTATTATTCTAGAAATACACTATCTCCACAACATTCCGGTTAATCAAATATATTCATATGCCCGTATATTTAGAATCGGTGATTTTCCCTATTGTTCAACTTTATATTTAAGCCATATGTTCCCAATTCCTATTCTATTTCCATATAGACTAGTTGTTGATCAAGTTTATTTATCGTCGAAGACAAGCTTCTGAAATCTTCACTTTCCCACCCCACAGGAAAATGAATCGAATCAGTTTTGAAATAGCGCAACGAAAATATTCCTGTTTCTAAAAACGATTAAGTAATAACTTGTAGAAGTATTAGGCACTGAAATTTTGTTTATGCAAACTTAAAATTCGTTATCAAAGTATTATTTGAATGTTCAAAATTAATGCACTTAATAAAAACTGCATAAATCGTTGAAATGACCATTTCGATTACAGAAGTCCAGTCCGGAGTGAGTCATTTCATTTTAAAATGACCAGAATAGACGCTTTCACTGTTTTACGCTTCTTATTGAATCCTCTGTGGAAATCAGAAAGAGACATTACTTTGTAAAGCTCCTTTCTGTTTAAATCTACTACAGTGAATAGCAAGAATTACCGTGCTGCCTGAATTTCCATCAAACAGAGTGCATGGAATTTTTTCGATTTTCCGTTGCTGTAACCAGTCGACTCTGATCATGGGCTGGCAGATATCCTGAAGCATGTTGGTCATTTGCCCATTTCTCAGACATGAAATGAAATTACCATCGGCAGTTGCCTCAATCTTCCAATTGAACAGCACTGTGTCATATGGCATAATTAAAATTGCATTCTCACTTGGAGATCTTGGAAAAAGATAAAATAGTACGCACTCAAGTACATTGAAAATTCTGTATATTATAGACACTCATCTCGGAGAGTAAAGCAGTTCTTACTGCAACGGGGACACTCAAAGCTTTTGTTGTAAACAAATTTTATCCAGACGTGCTTGTTGAGAGTAGCAGGATGATAAAAATTGGTTTAGGATTAAACCTCAGTGGTCGAAAACAGCGATGTGAAACAGTGAAGAACACATCTTCAGACAACAGTTTGAGGAATTCCGTTTTTAGGTTGGATGGTAACAATACTATCGTAAACACCGTTTCAATCAAACGTGATGTAGTGATTTATTGTAGGTGAGGTCGTGGATCACTTCACTTGAATAATGATGACAGTGCAGTTTAACGGTCTACAAAATCCATGGATTACGTTATTTTGATGGAACTCGTGAAAACATCTGACATTAATACTCGTTTTCATCCAGTGAATCCCTCTTCCAAAGTAAGTTATTAACTGTTCTTTCAAACATATATTTCATTGGTAATTGATTACTATTAGCGATCGACTCTGGTGCACACTGTTCGAAAACAGATGGATTCACCTTTTCTACAGAGTGTTTAATGGTCAAAGACCTTCAAAGCTTATCATGCTAGGTGGCACCAGACAACATGTCAGCACTGTGGGATCAAGTGAAACTGCATCCACATTTTTCACCCCCTGGTCAAACGTGAAATCAATCAAATTAATGCAAACTAACGCTTGGAAAGCGGAAAAGGTATCATCAAAACCTCACATTTCCAGAATTATTCTAGTTAAAATAAATTCACAATCAAACTCTTCTTCGGCTACACCCATTGATTCATACCGAAAATCCGTTTTCCCAATTCCTTGTAGCCTAACGCATCCGTAAGTTTCATTTTCTGAAACTTGGACGGCGTTGTTGTATTCAACTGGTGTTGTTTTCAGAACTGCGGGAAAGTAATGTTTTCGAAAAGATTCATTCAAAACATTATCGGAGTTGCCTGAAATGCACGAAATACATAGATGAGACGATGCAGTTCGTGTTTTCGGAATGGTTTCTAGTCCACTACTTATGATGATTTCGAGCGTGCTGAAACATCAAATAAATAATAATTATATTTTAATAGGTTACACACAATAATATGTTTTGTTATTGATAATATAGTATAAATGCCATACTATACTATGCGATATTTGCTCGATTCGGGTTCTATTTCAATATGGACTGGCGATTGTTCAAGTTTATTTATCGTCGAAGACAAGCTTCTGAATTCTTCACTTTCCCACCCCACAGGAAAATGAAGCGAATCAGTTTTGAAATAGCGCAACGAAAATATTCCTGTTTCTTAAAACGATTAAGTAATAACTTGTAGAAGTATTAAGCACTGAAATATTGTTTATGCAAACTAAAAATTCTTTATCAAAGTATTGTGTGAATGTTCATATTTAATGCACTTAATAAAAACTGCATAAATCGTTGAAATGACCATTTCGATTACAGAAGTCCAGTCCGGAGTGAGTCATTTCATTTTAAAATGACCAGAATAGACGCTTTCACTGTTTTACGCTTCTTATTGAATCCTCTGTGGAAATCAGAAAGAGACATTACTTTGTAAAGCTCCTTTCTGTTTAAATCTACTACAGTGAATAGCAAGAATTACCGTGCTGCCTGAATTTCCATCAAACAGAGTGCATGGAATTTTTTCGATTTTCCGTTGCTGTAACCAGTCGACTCTGATCATGGGCTGGTAAATATACTGAAGCATATTTCCCTGCAGGCTCAATAATTCTACTATCCACTGCGACACATGGCTAAAACAAATATAGAAATGAGATTTTGTTTTCCTGGTATCAGTAATTATACTGCTTATTAAAATAACCATGTAACAGACCGAAGGTCAATGAAAAGACAGGAATACGTTAGGAAGACAACAAGACTCTATGAGATCTGAACTTCGAGGGCGAAGATCTGCAATCCGAAACTATCAAACAGGGATTAAAGATAGTGACGGCAGGACTTCAGTGGGAACATAACCATCTCAACGGTGATGAAAATGCTTAATCTAAAACATCAACCAGCAGTCACTATCAGTGGACTCAATCTAAATTGAAAAACCTGTTTCACTTACGTAGACAGGATGTTTTTAAATACACGTTGTAAAGATAAATATATCAAAGCCAGGAGATCTGTTGCACTCAGCATAAAGAAAAGGTCGCCATTTTCTGCACTAATGTCGAGTCAGTAGGTCGTTTTATATGGTTCAGAGAAGTATTTGCAACAGTCTGCAACAGATTTTCATCAAGAGTATTATTGTTGGTCGTGGTACAGCTTGTGATTTCATCCAAGCTAATCCTGTCCCGGATATTATCCTGCTTATCTGGTGAAGTCCTGTTGGGTCTCTATCACCTGCAGCCTTTTATGTTTCCGATGCCAGCATACTGTCAGTTAAAGGAAATATATAAGCCTACTGAATTCTAGAAGACATTCAATAGGCAGCATCATTCCTCCTCGAATAGATGGTTCTTCCCGATTCCAGTTGACAATAAGTGTAACTTTTGTCGTCGAAAAGAAAATTTTCTTCGCTGCAACTGTCTTCTTTGTAATTTTTGTGCAATATGAATTTTCAGAAGTGACGAGGTTGTGTTTCTAGAGGGAAGGGGTTGATATCCCAACGCTTGGCCTTATGTCTCTTCCGGAATTAAGGCAAACGAGAAACCTTCGCAGTGATGATGTGAAAATTGTCAGTATATTAGAATCCTGTAATGGTGATTCGTGCTCACTTTGAAAAATTCAAACTTGTCATGAGATATTTTCTGCATTTTGACGATACGGTGAAGTTATTTTTAAATATTTGCATCTATGTTTATGAGAAGAAAATTCATTTCGTGTCTACTAAATAATAATTGTAATAACTGGTTATTTGAAAAAGGGATGAGGAGTAAGTTCACAGTCAGTTTATTCTAGAATTTGAATTTCATTGTAATAATTGTGATAATGTTATGAAATGACGCATATTGTATTATTCATTCAACATGACGAATGATGCGTGTCGGTGGCACAGTGGTTAGGACTCTGGCCGACCATCCACATGGTCTCAGGTTGAATCCCTTGCCGATGCACACCTGATATCTACGGTCGGCCTGCTAAATTTGGACTATCGATATCACATGCTGAAAATTCCACACTTGTACCAAATTTACAAAGTGGAATCATTCTGTAATCGCAGATAAAATAATATACAATTTCATTTAGGAAATGAGTGATGTACAAATTGCGCCTAATAGAAATAATTCCATATTGTCACTATCATCTATCCACTAGTTCTTGTCCAATTCCCTCAATTATATTGAGAAAGCAAAATGATTAATTAGATCCTCATATCTGGCTCTACTCTAACATATATAGCATTTTTTATTACAATACACAAGAATTTACCAGTCAAGCGTTGATATGTTTACTAACAATAATTAGTAAGTGTCGATATGCCAATGGAGTGATAATTAAAAGGTAGAAATGGTTACAACACATGGATTGCTTAATGCATAATTTTGGAAAAATTAAAAGTAATTAATGAATGAGCGTGTGCACAGGTTGATTACGTAACAGATTGTTAAAGAAAATAAAACGGTTTTGGTCAAGCCTAACTTGTAGCTAAGACTGAAGTGATCATAAGAATAAAATAATTTTACAAGGATGACATGTGATTAAAGATGAATTAGTCGGAAGAAAGTAAAGTAATTTGGACAATTTTAGCTTTAAAGGGTTTAGTGAGAAGAATGACGAAGTAATCCAGTTTATACATTCGTGTAACGATGGCCAAGGTAAGGAAAGTGTCTGTACGAATTTCTTCTAAACACACAAGTTTGTGTTCTCCAGGAGGATTACTATTGCTTCAACTGTATGCATAAGATTGATTAGTCATTGTTTTCACACTTACTGCATCACCTCAACTTCTGCTCCATTTCTAATTTCCAATTAGTCATCCTTTTCTTAGATTACACTTTACATTGTGTAATATGTTTTTAAGTATAAATTTTATTAGTGTCTGACTGGTTATCATGAAGACAATTTCAGCGAAGAAAATTTTCTTTTCGATGAAGTCATCATCTAGGCTGTACACTAGTGTATGTATATCAAGTGGATGGGAAAGTTCCAGAATAGTTTCCGGTTAAGAATCAAATTATTAAAAATAAATATTAGGAATTAGAATGCCATAATAAATAGGGGGATGGATAAAACAAACAAAGTAGCATCATAATAACTAAAAGGATACATACACGAGTGTACAGCATAGATGATGACTTCGTCGAAAAGAAAATTTTCTTCACTGCAATTGTCTTCTTAACAACTCCTATGACCCAATGCCTCCTGGTCTTATAAATTCTTTATTAAATATATAATTCCGGTTAAACAGCTTATGAAAATGAATCGTCGAGAAAGAAAATTTTCTTCACTGTCTACTTCTTTTTCTTATTTACCTCTTTACCTCATTAAACAAGATACAGGACGATTCTCAACAACTGTAACACTGAATATCTTCAAATAATCCCGAAATATCACTTTCTGAATCAAATGTTTGTCTTTAGGAAAGATACTCTTCCTCTACTGAGTTCACACTTGCTTATTCATTTTCTTACAATATTTTTCCTTTCTGAGCTTTGCTTTGAAACTATGGATGATTTGGGTTGGATCCTTAACGTGGATGTGAGTGCACACTGCTGAACAGTCCCAGAATAGGATGAAATAGCTGCTTAGCGCCTTTGGTTTCTAATGTCCTCTCCAAATGATACTGGATAGTGGTGAAAATCTAACAACTTACATAGTTGTAGCTGATGAACTGCACACTTAATTACTAAGTCTTCGCAGATGTTACCCCCCCCCTCTTTATTACACTGTTAACTGTAATAAAAGTTTAGAGAAACATTTGCTTAATCCTGCTTTAAACATTCATGCTAGAAGTGGTATTACACTTATTATTTTTACCGGTCGTATTTATCCTACTTATCGTGATGGACTGAAAAAATATTCAGCTGAACATAATTTCCTCAGATATTTATTCTTGAGATTATAACATTTGGACGCTTACGTTTCCAAATATAATGGTCCCATCGGTTTCTTGGGTAGACGTATGAAAATGTGGCATTTCGGTAGCAAACTAGAAATACTGCTGTAGGTTGAGCAGATGGATAGTCATCCAGGAGTGTGAACGCAACAGTGACCTCCAACGGGAACTATACGTTGGATAAAGGGACCTAATATTTGTACAGCGTCCCATGTGGCGCTGTGTAGGAACTCACGTGCAAATTTCTCCCTGCTCTTCTTTTAAGAATTATTTTTCTGATGAAGGTTTGACTGCTTGTCAGTGTTTGAATTAGTTAGGAATTGGATTAGGGGTAAGGTTTGCTTTTATTTTGTCTTAATAATTATTGTTTCTATTTTCCCAATAAACAGTTTAAGTGTACTCATACTTGTTATCTGTATTTCCCTAATATATAAATGACACTTTTGAGTGAACAAAACACTGCTTAGTCTCATCGGTCGCCTCAATGTCATCTGAGATTTCACTTCACTTTCATCGTTATTCCCTAACACTACCGTACTGTAGACCGTTTTAAACACAAAATATTTTCATTTTAAGGGTACACCTAAGATAAAATTTAGAACCATGCTCATATTTGTAGAAATTCAAACATGAATAGCAGGTTGGAACTCACAGACATCATACTTAACAGAATGTAATCACAAATGTTGGAACTGCTTAGTTATGCGTCTCCTCTCAATTACTGTATTCAGAAAGACCAGGTTAACATCATTTATTTCTTTGAAAGGCAATAACAAGGAGAATCTTTTCAGTTCTGTCTAGAAAAATGAACTCATTATCTATTTATAAATACAACATTGTCCGCGTGTATTTATTTTATTAATTTTTGAATTATCACTTTTTGTTTTAAAGAGACGCATTCTTCAAGTATGTATGCAGCTAATTTCATTTCATAGTTGAATTTAACCGTAGTAACTGTGATTGTTTCTCTTGATTGTTTCTACCTTCGAGTTGATGTGTTCGAAAAATCTATCTATATCTTGTGTACAATGGGATAGGATAACAGTTTTAAAATCTAGGGACCAGACAACACAGGAAGGGGACTCATCATGGGTACAGAAGCTCTCGGAGAAATGAATGAAAACGGAGATCTCTTCGCCGACTTCTTCGCCTTCAACGAACTAGTGATTGGTGGAAGTGTATACAAGCACAAAGATATCCACAAGGCTACATGAGTGTCACCAAACGGGCAAACCGAAAACTAAATTGACTTCATCTCAATGCTGCTCAAGGAAGTGGAGGCGCAGTCTACTGGGCACAAAAACAAGAAGAGGAGTAGACGTTGGCTCAGACCACCATGTCGTACAAGGGATAATCTAAGTCAAATTAAAAGCTTTCAGGGAATCAGGAGCTGCAGAGAGACCACAAGCCAAGTTCAACACTCAAAAACTGAAGGAACAGGATACAAAGGAGATCTTCATTGCAAGCATAAAGGACAAAGCCGAGACACAAATCAACACTAGCAAAGAGGTCGGCGTCGAAAATCACTGGGACAACTTGAAAACGGTGTGGAGTCAAACCTGCATGGAAGTTCTAGGCAGAAAGAGGAGACAGGACAAACAGTGGCTCACTACGAACATTTGGAAACTAATAGAAGAGAGAAGGACAGTGAAACAAAAGATTATCCAGTGCACCGACGAGCAACAAAATAGGGTTTGAATGCAAGCTACAATACACTGAACAAAGGAGTAAAGAAGAGTCCTAGGGAAGACAAAAGAAAATATTATGAAACCATGGCAACTCAAGCAGAACAAACTGCAGTGCAGGCAAAGGAGACCTCGCCACACTCTACCAAAAAACTAGGCACCTATCGGGAAAACGTTCGATACAGATTAAGCCAGTAAAGGACAACAATGGAAAGTCAATCACCAAAGAGGTGGAGCAAAGGAAACACTGGGCTGAACACTTCAAACGACTTCTAAATCGTCCGCCACCTACACCACGCCCAACGATACAACAACGGAAGCAGAACTACCAGCGAACATTGATACCCCGACGAAATCAGAAGTCCTGAATGCAATCAAAATGCTAAAAGCTGGAAAAGCAGCAGGACCAGATAGAATCCCAGGAGAAGCTTTGAAAATGGACCCAGAGACAACATTGAAGTTGATGACCCCATTGCTAGAGAAGGTGTGGAAAGAATGCAAAGTACCTGAGGATTGAAAGAAAGGATACTTATTCAAACTACCAAAGAAAGGAGACTTAAGTCAATGCAAAAACTGGCGCGGAATTATGCTCCTATCCATTCCAATCAAAATACTAAGCCGCATCATCCTGGAGAGAATCGAACACGCCAACCTGGATGCAAAACTTCGACCGGAACAAGCTGGATTCAGGAGAAACGAGTCATGTATTGATCAAATCGCCACTCTACGGATCATCATTGAACAAAGCTTAGAATTGCAGTCACCTCTCTATCTCACTTAACTTCATCGACTTTGAAAAGGCCTTCATTAGAAAGCGTCGATCGAGAGGTCATTTGGCAACTACTTCGCTATTACGGGGTTCCATCGACAATTATACATCTCATCCAACAGTTATACGACAATGCTGCATCCCAAGTAATCCACAACAGGGAACTTACGGAAGCCTTTGAAGTGAGGACGACAGTGAGGCAAGCTGGCTGCCCACTATCGCCAATGATCTTCCTGATTGCAGTAGATTGGATAATGCGACGGAAAGAGGGCAATGAGGAAACAGGCATAAATAAAATGGACTCACACAAAAAACGGCTTGGTGGATGTGGACTTCGCCGATGATATATGTCTTATTTCCCAAAAACTGGACGATATGCAAGTGAAAAGTAACAACCTAGCAGAAGAAGCATCCGCAGAAGATAGGACTTCCTTCAGGTGAACATAGATAAAACAGAGGTGATGAAGATTCCTGGCTAACACCAACAACAACAACAACAACAGACAACAATCAGCCAGCATAAATGGGAGGAACCTGAAAGAAACAACCTCCTTCACCTACCTACCTACTTGGGAAGCATAGTTTCAACTACAGGCGGAACTGACGAGGATATCAAAGCAGCGAGGATCGGAAAAGCAAGACAAGCTTTCATTAATCTCAAGTCTGTTTGCAGGAGGTCAACATCACTCAGCATCTAAAATAACATCCGGATTTTCAACTCTAATGTGAAGTCAGTCAGTGCTATTATACGGATCAGAGACTTGCACTGCGCGTCATAAAGAGCATCTCCAACAAACTTCAGACCTTCACCAACCGTTGTCTTCGCTCAATACTCAAGATCAGATGGCGAGAAAGATCAGCATCACAGATATCTGGAAATGAGCGAACCAATACAGCAGAAAGCGATTGTGAAACAAATAGGCAGGAAGAAATGGAGATGGATTGGCCATACTCTGAGGAAACCATCAAGTGACATCACTAGACAAGCCATCGCTCGAGTGGAACCCGAAAGGGAAGCGGCGAGTTGGTCGTCAGTGCAAGGGTGACGTGGAGGAGGTCATGCGAGGAGGAGATGAGAGGATGTGGGCAGACTTGTATTGAGGTGAAAATGTTGGCAGAAATCAGGAGGCAATGGAGATGCGCAGCTGAAGCCCTATGTCCCTCTAGGAACTAAAGGATACAATAATAATGTTTTAAAATCTAATGTCGCAGGGTATAGGGAGAGACTGATAACACAAGCTTTGTTTATCGAATCAACTGCAAATACATGTAATAGGAATGATTCATCACCTGTCCCTGATACCTGTAAAATTCTACTACCCCTACTACAAATAGGAGAAAACAAAGAATACCATAAAACTCAAGATTCAACGTCGTGTGATTACAATTGATATGATTATGAAAATAAATTTTGTTCGAAACGTCATCCAGTACACAATGCTGTTTCACGGTGTCATATATCTAATAAACAAACTAATATGGAATTACTTACTACCACAGTGCCCAAGCTTTACACATATACTGAGATTGTTAGGTCTCAAATTCATAACACCTTCTCAGAATGATTTAGATTGTAAATATTCCTCATTCAAGCCTACATGCGACTGAGGATTCAGAAATATACTTATATTCATAAATGGTAATTGTCACACATTGAAGATAAGGATAAAACCGATTTACTTCATATTAAACTAAATTTGACTTTCAAAATTGTTGACGTTTTTAATGAACACTTGTTATCTGAATATATCCTGAAAGAGAACATGCCTTAGTTCTTACTGAAGAATAAACTCGATCCACTCTGGAACTATAACCTTGACAATTCACTGCTGGTAAACTGATAATAATAACAGAATTTTTGTGGAAAACTATATTTCATAATGTTGGTATATAAGGTAGTGCAGAGAGGATTACAGGTACAAGTGATATTGATTCATTTGGTTCCCTTGATAAATTTCGATAAAGAAAGAAAGAAGAAATTTACAGTATAAAATGATATTGTCATTCTATTCCACAGGTTCTCATCAGCTGTAGACTACCTGAAATTACAATGTTTTTATAGATAATAATAACATACTTTATTGTTTGAGTGGTGGTAGAGAAGAGACGCTATAATATTGACGCATCTAAATGAAAGCAATTTTTTTTAGTTTTAGTTTCCATCATCAATTTATACGCTTTCAAATTTGGAAAGAAGGGAAAGGGGTAAAACAGAAAAATTAATTAACAGAACAGTGTTAGCTTGTAGGTTCACATAGTAACTCAAAATCAAAAGCGGTTACAGTTTATGAGATTAAGATTTGTTCAGTGAGTTGAGATCACTGAATCAGATGACTAGTCAAAATTAAAATTCTGTTACCAAGGCAGTGAGAGGTTAATCACAATCTCTTTCTGTATGCATAAATCTGTTTTGATTTGATTGCGATTGATTCGCCAAATTGTAGTAAATTTGCTGTCCTTTGTCTATTGAATATTTTGAAGGACTCAGAAATCTCTACGAGATGTCGGGTATCAACAATGTGTCTTGTAATTGCACTCTGGGAATATCTGTTTCCTTTCAGGCACAGGTTTTTAGGAATATGTTCAGAAAACCGGATAGAAGCCCTTCTATCTGTCCAGTCAATGTACCAGCTCCCGCAAGTGCACGTGAATTCAGAAATGCAGATGGAGGTGACATCAACAGGTTATTTATCCAGATTTGTGTGGATTGAAGAAAAGTGATGCTGTATACTGTTATGAGTTTTGCTTCCGGGAAGATTTTATTTATTATCACCTATAAGACCACTGTAATTTCAGGTAGTCTGCATATGATGAGAACCTGTGAAATAGAATGATATCATTTTACAACTGTTATTTTTTTTTCTGGACATTAACATCTACACTTATCAACAGTGAATATGTTGGGAGTTGACTGAATAATAAATAATTAATTTCGATGTTTTTTTAAAAGCGAACTCTATGGAGAGTATGTTCACAGTTGCTTTTTTATTGAATTTGAATTTAATAACATAGATGTGTGTCCAATTCTCTATTCAACAGGATTTGATAAGTGTACGACAGGTTTATTATTGAAGTGGTTTATAAAATGTACAGAATTAGTAGTAGAATTTCTTGCATAATGTATCCTATTCCGTCAGCATTTTCAAGTTAAATAGTTATTGGTACTGGGTCGAGTGACACAATGTCATATCATGTGAAGTGCAAACCAGTCTTTTAGAATATTTCGTCTTTAACCCCTTCGAGAAATGCACAATAGTCGGTTGAAAGCAAACTATAAAAGTGAAAGAACAAATTTCCCTATCCAATCGCATAGCTGAATGATTAAAGAGTGCAGGGAGTTAGTTATATCCCCTATATAGTGATAATTTGGCACTTGATGTGTCAAGAACAATTATTTCATGTGCTGGATTACATGGACGCATATAATCATCGCTTATCGTCAGATAAAGTAGAAACTTCCGAATCAGCAGACAGTAAATAATTCAAACACTTGAGCCAGTGAAGAATACCACCAATATTTGCTTTATTAGAGAATAAAATTACGTGAACACAGGAAGTAAGATGTAACACAATGATGGTGCATTTTGGTAGCACAAATGTTTCAGCAGGCTGCCATTATATCAATCTTATTTAAAGAATGAATAACGTACTAGCTGGACTCATTTTGAATTAATTTCACACTAAAACCTTTTCACGCGTAGAAGTTGGTTAACGCGATAATAGTGGCTAGAAAACCAGTAAATATCCTTACGTATTTAACCGATGCGTCATCCTCAAAGGGAAAAACCATGATGGAATAAGCCGATGAAAATCCAGTGGTTTTCTAATTTATTTCACATCCACATTTCACTTCAAATCAATCAAAATAATGCAAACTAACTTTCGGAAAGCGAAGAAGGTATTATCAAGAATACACATTTGTACAATTATTTTAGATACAAAGTATTCACCGTCAAACTCTTCTTCTGCTACACACTCATTGATTCATTTCTACAATCACTTTTATGAATTCATTGTAGTTCAAAGCATCCGTAAGTTTCATCTCCTGAAACTTGAACGCCGTTCGTTTATTTAACTGGTGTGGTTATCAGAACTGCAGCAAAGCGACGCTTTCGTAAAGATTCATTCAAAACGTTATCACAGTTGCCTCAAATCTACCGAATGCATAGATGAGACGATGTAGTTCGTGTCTTCCGAATGCTTTCTTGCGTTAGTGGCTTAACGGTTAGGACCCTGGTCGACCATGAACAAGATCCGAAGTTTGATCCCCAGCTGACGGACTCCTTCACCTAGCTTAGACAGAACAAATTCTAGTAAAGAGGAGAGGTCGCGCATGGGCCTAGCAAACCTATTCCGTAACATAATCACTGACAATAGCATCGACCCATATGTTACAATGAATAACGTGAGGGAAAAAGAAACTTATGATACTTTCAAGTAACCTTAAACATATTTCAGTCTTTCTTTAAAAAGCGTCTCTCTTAATCTGTCGTCAAATTCAAATATGACTATTGAGGAGATACAGGGATCTTGACGTTTACGCGAGGAATGATGTGTACGAACGCAAATATTTACCATCCAACTTCGATAGTATTTCTTATGATTAGACCAAATATAAATCAAAACACCAATCTTTTCAACCATACTACTATATATATTTTGGGATCAGAATCCCATTGCGATGACAACTGCTTAGCTAGCTAGGGATCATGCACATATACTTTGATTGGACACTAGTAACTAGTGTGATGTGTCTAGTCCTTTCTTTGGTACAGACTGAACTCTGTCAGTCAAGTTTTTAGTGTGGCTACCACACTTGGTTAGCTCGCCATCACGGTGCACACTGATTTGATGAAGTTAGATGGTTGGTGGCAATTACCAGTATTCAGTCCGCACTGAAGAAAGGACTAGAAACGTCACACTAGTTACTAGTGTCCAATCAAGTTATCCAGTACAGTTCTAGAGGAGTTCAATCGCAAGTCTGAATAACTAAGTGTTAACGTTTGTGACTGCCACACTAGTCGAAGTGAATTCGAATCTCATGAGGGACGTGAGTTCCTTGCTGATGAGTGATGACTAGAACGAAACCCAGGTGAGTCTAAGTCTTCCTATTGATTGCCTTCAACCATCTAATATCTTGCACAAATGAGTTAACGTAAAACGACAGAGTTCCAGTGGTGTAGAAGCTTGATCGCAATCCTTCAGCCTAACGCATCGAATTAAACAGTAAATGTGAGCATTGAATGAAAAATGGTGTGGACCAGTAGTTTCAGGGTAATGTTTCCCACTATAAATATATGATGTGTGAGTGTAAAATGATTGCATTCTTTCCCTTCTGATACAAAGCGGTATATCATTTAAATAATTCTGAAGTCGATTTTCCTAAGGACACCCATAATCTGGTTGTTTCCAGACCAGTTGCTTGTCTGTCACACTATTCTAAATTGAATAATGTTTTGTCAGAAGCTGGTCCAAGACTTTGTCCGATGATTTTAGGCTAAATCCCTCCAAATGTCATGTTGTGTATTACACATTCATACACAAGCGCGACTTACATGAACTCGTCCGTTTCCGTGATTCTTGAATCATACAAGTTGAAACTAAGTAGAACTTTCAGTACGTTTGGTTACGTCTTCCGTCTGAACTTCCTTGGTCTTGCCACATCTTATTAGTTTCTAGAAGGACATTTCGTCTAACCTTCTACATAGGGAAGTTAAGGAAATCTCGTATCATTCAGCCTCTAACTTTACGTTCTGTAAATTCTTAGATTCTACCTATTCCTCTTTATTTCCTCCCGCCTTAATCTTTCCTGAGCCGCTGTAGGGCATTTCTACACTGCTGTGGACATTAAAACCTATCGGTTGAGCGAGTGGAGTACCGCTAAACAAACAGGTTAATACTGCAGCAGATAGACAATTGAACTCATAAGAGAAATTGGCTTGTAGCATCTTGACGAACTCTAAACGTCCTATCTACACACAACTTTGTCGTTGCTTCTCATTATGTAGGACTACAAACAACTATGAGATATTGTGCTAGAACGACTAAGTATGGAAGCGTGTTGATACCTTATTCGGTATGCGTTTGACGTGATGAGAAATGTCTAAGACATGATGTTACTAAGTAAATGTGCGTGACTGACACACGAGTTAAGACTCTCGCGGACCATGCACATGTTCCGGGGTTCGATCCCCTGGTGACGAACACATGATATCTAGTGTGGCCTGCAAAATTTGATCTAAAGATATCACATGCTGAAAATTCCACAAATGTATCAAAAAATACGGTGTAGAATCAAGCTAAAATAAAGAAACAATGGAAGAACAATAAATTACACTAAGTAAACGACATTTTTCTGTTTCATTCGTCAACGGATTTTCGTTATTATATCCAATAAGATATTAATTTGACATTCAAATCAGCATTGAAACTACTAGCAAAGTAAATGCCTACTTAATTATTCTCCTCCGTACTACGTATTGTAAAGAGAAGATTAGTTGCCGAAATGTATGTCACGCTGAAAATTCTACATTGTATGAAAAGTACTGTTTCGAATAAAGCTATTATCATTGTATTATTCTAGAAATACACTATCTCCACAACATTCCGGTTAATCAAATATATTCATATGCCCGTATATTTCGAATCGGTGATTTTCCCTATTGTTCAACTTTATATTTGTGTCATATGTTCCCAATTCGTATTCTATTTCCATGTAGACTAGAGGTTGATCAAGTTTATTTATCGTCAAAGACAAGCTTCTGAATTCTTCACTTTCCCAACCCACAGGAAAATGAAGCGAATCAGTTTTGAAATAGCGCAACGAAAATATTCCTGTTTCTAAAAACGATTAAGTAATAACTTGTAGAAGTATTAAGCACTGAAATATTGTTTATGCAAACTAAAAATTCTTTATCATAGTATTATGTGAATGTTCATATTTAATGCACTTAATAAAAACTGCATAAATCATTGAAATGACCATTTCGATTACAGAAGTCCAGTCCGGAGTGAGTCATTTCATTTTAAAATGACCGGAATAGATGCTTACACAGTTTTGCGCTTCTTATTGAATCCTCTGTGGAAATCAGAAAGAGACATTACTTTGTAAAGCTCCTTTCTGTTTAAATCTACTACAGTGAATAGCTGGAATTACCGTGCTGCCTGAATTTCCATCAAACAGAGTGCATGGAATATTTTCGATTTTCCGTTGTTGTAACAATTCGACTCTGATCATGGGCTGGCAGATTTCCTGAAGCATATTGGTCATTTGCCCATTTCTCAGACATGTAATGAAATTACCATTGGCAGTTGCCTCAATCTTCCAATTGAACAGCACTGTGTCATATGGCGTAATTAAAAGTGTTATCTCACTTGGAGATCTCGGATGAAGAGAAAATAGTACGCACTCAAGTACATTGAAAATTCTGTATATTATAGACACTCATCTCAGAGAGTAAAGCAGTTTTCATTGTAACTGGGAAATCCATAGCTTTTGTTATACACAAATTTTATCCAGACGTGCTTGTTGAGAGTAGCAGGATGATGAAAATTGGTTTAGGATTAAGCATCATTGGTCGAAAACAACGATGTGAAACAGTGAAGAACACATCTTCAGACAACACTTTGAGGAATTCGGCTTTTAGGTTTGATAGTAACAATTCTTTCGTAAACACCGTTTCAATCAAACGTGATGTAGTGATTTATTGTAGGTGAGGTCGTGGATCACTTCACTTGAATAATGATGACAGTGCAGTTTAACGGTCTACAAAATCCATGGATTACGTTATTTTGATGGAACTCCTGAAAACATCTCACATTAATACTCGTTTTCATCCAGTGAATCCCCTTCCAAAGTAAGTTATTAAGTGTTCTTTCAAACATGTATTTCATTGGTAATCGATTACTATTAGCAGTCGACTCTAGTGCACACTGTTCGTAAAGAGATGAATTCATTTTTCTACAGAGTACATAATGGTCAAAGACCTTCAAAGCTTATCATACTAGGTGGCGCCAGACAACATGTCAGCACTGTGGGATAAAGTGAAACTGCATCCACATTTTTCACCCCCTGGTCAAACGTGAAATCAATCATATGAACGCAAACTAACGCTTGGAAACCGGAAAAAGTATCATCGAAACTACACATTTCCAGAATTATTCTAGTAAAAATAAATTCACAATCAAACTCTTCTTCGGCTACACCCATTGATTCATACCGAAAATCCGTTTTCTCAATTCCTTGTAGCCTAACGCATCCGTAAGTTTCATTTTCTGAAACTTGGACGGCGTTGTTCTATTCAACTGGTGTTGTTTTCAGAACTGCGGGAAAGTAATGTTTTCGAAAAGATTCATTCAAAACATTATCGCGGTTGCCTGAAATGCACGGAATACATAGATGAGCTGATGCAGTTCGTCAGAACTTATGATGATTCGATTAAGTCGAAACATATTTCAGTCTTTCTTTAAAAAGCGTCTCTCTTAATCTGTCGTCAAATTCAAATATGACTATTGAGGAGATACAGGGATCTTGACGTTTACGCGAGGAATGATGTGTACGAACGCAAATATTTACCATCCAACTTCGATAGTATTTCTTATGATTAGACCAAATATAAATCAAAACACCAATCTTTTCAACCATACTACTATATATATTTTGGGATCAGAATCCCATTGCGATGACAACTGCTTAGCTAGCTAGGGATCATGCACATATACTTTGATTGGACACTAGTAACTAGTGTGATGTGTCTAGTCCTTTCTTTGGTACAGACTGAACTCTGTCAGTCAAGTTTTTAGTGTGGCTACCACACTTGGTTAGCTCGCCATCACGGTGCACACTGATTTGATGAAGTTAGATGGTTGGTGGCAATTACCAGTATTCAGTCCGCACTGAAGAAAGGACTAGAAACGTCACACTAGTTACTAGTGTCCAATCAAGTTATCCAGTACAGTTCTAGAGGAGTTCAATCGCAAGTCTGAATAACTAAGTGTTAACGTTTGTGACTGCCACACTTGGTGACGGGAACTCGATTCTGAGAATGGACGTGATTTCCCCGATTTAAGGAGCAGCCTTTGCTGACGAGTAGTGACTAGAACGAAACCTACTTCAATACAAGCCCTTATGTTGATTGACTCCAAATATCTAATAGTTGCGCTACTAAAATTTGTTTGATTGATTTACCAGTTGACTTCAATTTTATTTAGCGCTAATGATTTTTGTGTTGCCTCCTTCTTGCTTAGACCTAGTTTTTGATCACAATACAGTCTGATTTCGCCTACCTTACCCGGTGGTCGGGCCTTTACAACTAGTGAAGGGAGGAAGTAAGGCTCGTGTCTGTCCACGGATGTATTTATTATTTGTGGTATATGAGGAATACACACAGTCGCATCACAAGGCTGCATCCACACCCTTGCCCTGTCAATATCTAATTTGCACATGTATACTTATTGATCATTGAAGGCGAATCGGCTGAGGTTCAACTGAATCGACGGAACTCTTCCAACATCTACGAGTGAAGTAGTAGTACGATTCCTGCCACTGGATTTAATCCGTTACTCATCCCATGAAAATATTTTGCTGAAATATTTATTAACGCCCGTAACCCTATATTCATTTCTACAATCACATTTATCAATTTCTTGTAGCCTAAGGCATCCGTAAGTTGTATTTTTTGATACTTGGACGCTGTTCGTTTCATCAACTGGTATGGTTCTCAAAACTGCAAGAAAGCAATGTTTTCGAAAAGATGCATTCAAAATATAATTTAGATTGCTATCTTACTTAAAGATCCAGGATGAAGGGAAAATGGTACGCACTTAAGTTCATTGAAAATTCTGTATATTATAGATACTTATCTCAGAGAGTAAAGCAGTTTTCATTGTAACTGGGAAATCCATAGCTTTTGTTATACACAAATTTTATCCAGACGTGCTTGTTGAGAGTAGCAGGATGATGAAAATTGGTTTAGGATTAAGCATCATTGGTCGAAAACAACGATGTGAAACAGTGAAGAACACATCTTCAGACAACACTTTGAGGAATTCGGCTTTTAGGTTTGATAGTAACAATACTATCGTAAACACCGCTTCAATCAAACGTGATGTAGTGATTTATTGTAGGTGAGGTCGTGGATCACTTCACTTGAATAATGATGACAGTTCCGTCTAATGGTCGATAAAATTCATGGATTTATTTGTAGTGTTTCAAGGAATTTAGTGCCCTGGAATTTATGCTGGGAATCTGCACACATCCTATTAGTAATATTTTGGTCACATATCATCCGTTAAATAATTGTACCATATGTTTTCAATTCTAACAGAACTGATGAATGTGAACGTGTTTGCTGTGACACAACTCCGCAAATCATTTCTATGGGAAGACGACAACGTATATGAAATGTGTGTTACATACTAATTTCCAAACTTCACATTTTCTCATTACTTTTTCTGTTAAGTATTGCTGTATGAGTTATTCATTATTATTCATCCTCTTGCACTACTATTTATCGGGAAGAGCATAAATTAATCATTTACTTCTCATGAACAATACTCTTTGAAATCAATATAAATAATTTCATTCATGAATCGACAGTATGATCGTGGAACTGCACTTCACAGTAGTATGAAGTGCATTTCCTGGGGAGCATTGGTTTAGCATCCCATATCAACTCTGCAATTATTTCAAGTAGAGTGCCTAAAAATTATAGCGAAAGTTCTATTTAAACTCAGTACATATCGCATATTAATGAAACGCTACATGAGTGTGTTCACTCCTCTTGTGAAGTCCGCTGTGAACTTGTCTCCAGACTCCTTCCTAATTCTTTACGTGGAAATAAAAACGGCCCGTATCGATTAAGTATTTCTTTAAAGGGTTATCCAGAACGACTTTTGAATTTCTTGCTTACACATATGTATGACACTGATTTTCAGATAGACTGGCAACAGGTGAATAAAGGGGTAATGACAATTCTTATACGTTACCCGAGCTTGCAAGTACCTGCACGCAGGTCAGCCTCTATTTGCTTTCCATTGTCCATAAAACCACGTGATCCAATATTTCCAATTCTATGGAACTCTGCTGTCTTATTTTGTAGTCGCGGAAGACTTTCAGTGAAACATAGGGCATCAGGCATTGCAGGATGAATATTCACAGTCTTAAACATTCATAAGGACAATATCTTGCTTCAGCAATCAAGACCTGTTGATTTGTTCTTAGCGACCTTTGCTTATTCCATTTGTACAACCACAACATAACTCTGTAGACCAAATAACCTTCGTAAATATCACTTCATCTGTCTGTGGGAACTTTAAATTCTGTTGATGATAGTATTCCAAATGTGGGAAGATGGTAATTGAAGGCTACCAGCCCCAGGTGTCATTTCTCCATCTTATATCACTGTATTTACTGACCAACACCAGAATCCAATGTCGTTATAATTCAGAAATGACAGTTAAGTTTAACAAATAAGAATATTTAGTACAACTGTCTCTCCTGTATCGACATTGCACTAGCCCATGTAGGTAAGCCTTTAAAGCAGGATTCCTCGCCTATATGAACAATTTTAGTCCTGTATAAGGTAAATTTACTCATCTACACAAAGCCCCACAAACATTAAAAAACATCTTACAAGCATTATTTGCCGGCCGGTCAACCATACCATTGAAAGTTAGGACTGAGCAAAGTCCATAACGAAGATAACTATTTGAGAATTGCCGTCTGTTATTCAGCAAAACTTGTCAAGTACTCAGATGATAATTCGTTTACATTCTCTTTGTTTTCCACACAAAAAGAACTGAACTCACATGTTCAAAGTACCCGTTACAATGCCTGCATGGTTATTAGTCAGTGCCTAAACTCAACTTTCCTTGCTAGTGTGCAGGTAGAATCAAGTCCTACAGAATCTGGAAACTGCTTACATAACTACTTTTGCTAATAATTCGCCAAAAATTTCGGATGCCTCCATCTCAACTAAACTCCACCAGCTTCAAATTGCATTTTAGTGAGTGAAGCATTTCATTACTAATCGACAATTCCAAATGTAACAGAGATTACATTTGCAGAAACCACATTAAAGGCAGTTTTCATATGTTCGACGTAGTTGAGCATTATTTCCTTGTGGAAGTTTTCTTTCACATGTCTCATAATGTCATCCAAACAGTACGACTTTTGCAATAATAGTCCCAAACTACCTTTCCATCCTACAGTTAGTTGCCTACTTCAAGAATCATTATTCATGTATGAATCTATGCACGGATGGTCGGGTATCATCTCGTACGATGCCATCAAATATTCACTACATCCAAGAGCATGCGAATTTAGACCTGAAACAAAGGTAATACAGTTTGATGTATGACGTATTCTTAATTTTCAGATCTTATCTATCACTTCTCACTCCACAAGTACAATTAAAAGCAACACACATATACTTATATCTCTTGTCAGCTGTTTGTTTGTAATGAGTGTAGACGCAGTGTTTACAAGAGATCCACCCTGTTAGCAATTTATAAGGATCTCAATTTCTGAAGTTCGTTCATTGCATTCTCGACATCCTTGAAGCTAAGAAAACATCTACTTGACTTCATCTCACAATGATTTTGACTCATAATAATTAAATGCCATAACCTTCTGGAACAGACTTTTTACCCGTTACTTCTGATCCTTGTTGCAGTTAATTTGTTAAAAAACACAGAATATTGAAATACATAACTGCCAAAAACTAAATCATTAAATGTTACATATTCAACCACAACTTTGTAAATGCATATGGACCCGAGCTCGTAGTCACTGATAATTACCACAGTAGTTAACTAATTTCGACAAAGTACACTGTGCGACAATTGTTGTAGCTGTATGAAGAAACAGTAAGACACCTTTCATTAGCTGGATTTAACATTTAAAGTCATTGATGCACTCCGAGAAACACTGGTTACAAAACCATATGACATCATACATATCAGCAAATACATAGTCATAATCAAATATCTAGTCAAATGGCACTGTTCTAGCCAATGAAGAAAGCAGAAGAGAAAGTGAGGTGAATTCAAGCCTCAGTAACTTATATCGTTTCCCCTAGTGAACCATAGTGTCATACTTAACTTAACAAAAGTATCAAGGTCGATAACAACCTGCCTTAGGACGTATCTCGATACACTATGTGACTGTTCCTGAGATTATTATTATGAGCTACCTCTACCTGCCTCATACGATTAACTACTTCTGTGTCTGAATGATAGTAGAGAAGACATAAAATTAACGCATAACAATTGTAAGCCTTCTAATTCTTAGTTCAAGTTACCAACAATTTATATTTATTCAAAATAGGAATAAAGACAGGGAGGAGAAGACGATAGAAATACCTAATCAACAGTGAGGTGAAATCACTAATATGGATGACTAATCAATGCGATCAAAATGCAGTTACCCATAGATTAAGCGATTGGTTACACTCTGTTTCTGTATACATAGTTTTCGTCAGTCTTTTGATTGCGATTGCGCCAGCATTTCCTAGCAAATTGGCTGACTTTTGTATGTTTGAATCTTTGAAGGATCTAGAAATTTTGATGAAATGACCAATATGCATAAATTGTCTGACAAATGCAGTTTGCGAATATCTGCTCAGAAAACCGGATGGATGCCCTTCTGTTTATCCTACTTGCTTGAACAGTTGCACTGCAAATTTGGTCTTCCTGTCTTCATCAGAATTTATGAAGGGAACAGAGTGTATGAAACAATTATCTACATATAATCTCTTCTGTTTTCTAATATATATGTCACTATGGGTGTAATGAGGCTCCTCAAAACTTCGCTTCATCATCTTCATGATAATAATCTAATCTGTCTAAGTACATGCAAGTTATTAGCGACAAGCTCAGTGAAGTTCTGAGAGGAAATTCAATACTGACGTTGGAATATATATATATCACTTCTGTGTTATCTACTTCCAATAATTTATGATTTAAATTATCAAGTGACAAAATAAATTATATTACTGTTAAATGCTCTCTGGACCATTTGTCTAATTATATTTATTTTGGATAACGAACATCCAAGTCAAACCTAGTTGTAATATCTCAGAACTATACACCTACGATTATGAACCCACTGTTTGTTCTTGCGACCTCCCTGGAGATTTCAATTCCTGTGACAGAAATTCTTAACAGCACTAAGTCATAAAAATGTTGTTAACTCTGAAACTCTTCTACACAACACACAAAATCTAGTGTTCAAAAATGACTCAGATGTATACGAAACATTCAAAACAGCTTCACTCCTAAATTTCGATTCATATATCTTATGGGTGTTACCAAAACCATGTAGGAAGTTAACTAAAGTAGCCGTTCCACAACTCTGCAGGAAATTCAACATCCATGTTACTCTTAAGACGAAATACGTTTTCTTGGAAGCATATTAAATGACAAGAAGTGAGAATTATTCACTCAAAACATGCTGGCATTGCTACCACAAATATAACTTTTATCTCACATCTTGCCACAAAATGTCTTGCTCGAGACATACAAACTTCACTAAACTTGAACTTCCTGTCAACTGGAGAGAGGCAGCTGTGGCAAGAGGAGGTTTTGTGAAATAGTGGATAACTTGGTGCCAAAAGACTGAACATTTTAACACAGTCTGAAATGGAGAGACTGAATGTGATCTGCGACCAAACATTCTTATCATATATAACCTCTGCAGATATTTGAAATTTATTCATAGAAATTTCAAGTGGAAATCAGTTGATATACCTTTTATATTTGATTCTCTAACCCACAGCAAGTTCAGCTGGTGTTACGATTTCTGATGTTACAAATTAATTGAATGATCCCATTCATGGATTAAATACGTATCACATTCCTGAGTATATGACGCCCCTGAATCCTTCTCAATCCTTAGGTTAAGATGGTGTACCGGTGCGTGATTCATTTATTACAGCATGCATTAAGTTTAGAACTATTTCTATGTAAATTTACAGCAAGAAACCAGTGGCAATAATTCTAATCGATTAATTAAACCACAAACCTCGCCAGATACTAGCTTGCTAGGCTACTAGCTTACTAGTTTTCTAGCCGGTCCCAAGCCCGGGTAAAAAGGGAGGGTTGGGGCGTGGTGCTAGCAACTCCACCCCTGTAAAACAACCAAATCGCTACAGAAACTTCAACGAATAAATATATTAAAAATTCTAAAAACATAAGCAATAGCCTTACTTTTCGCTGGAATCGGGAAGTGAAATGACGCAGGCTGGTGAAAGCCTTCGGGAAGCCAGTCAGCCGATGTGCCTTCTTTCGATGAAAGCAAAAGTAAGGATGGGTACCTGGAATGTTCGCACAATGTACGAAACTGGAAAGGCTGCCCAGATAGCCGCTGAAATGAGAAGGTACAGAATAGAAGTGTTGGGAAT